GTGCACTTGCAATGGAGTTTCTTTTGTTTAGAAATCTTAGGTGAAGGAAGAATATGATTGCCTGTGGTGTTTCTGGTAATTGATTCCATGTGTAACACTGACTTGTAGTACCAAACTGAGAAGCTGCTTCCTTAATATGTTAATTTTTGGAATGCCTACAGGAATAAGATCAAGATTGTTGAAGCTGGTGCCTTGGGACCAATTGTTGGTTTTCTGCAATCAGAGAGTTTGATCCTACAGGAGAATGCCACTGCTTCTTTACTCACTCTTTCAGCTTCTACTGTCAATAAGCCGTTAATAAGTGCTGCTGGTGCCATTCCTCTCCTTGTGGAGATTCTTAGATGTGGAAGCCCACAGGCAAAGGCAGATGCTGTAATGGCCCTTTCCAATCTTTCAACGCTCCCATCTAATCTTAGCATCATTCTAAATTCAAACCCAGTCCCCTCAATAGTCAGTCTGCTGAAAACTTGTAAAAAATCTTCAAAAACTGCTGAAAAATGCTGCTCACTGATTGAATCCTTAGTTGGTTTTGATGAAGGAAGAGTAGCGTTGACATCTGAAGAAGGTGGAGTTCTTGCTGTTGTGGAAGTTCTCGAGAATGGCTCTCTTCAAAGTCGCGATCATGCTGTTGGTGCACTATTGACAATGTGCGAGAGCGACCGGTGTAAATATAGAGAACCTATCTTAGGAGAAGGGGTAATCCCTGGTCTTCTTGAACTCACTGTCCAAGGTACACCTAAATCTCAGTCAAAGGCTAAAACCCTCTTAAGGCTATTAAGGGACTCTCCATATCCAAGATCTGAGCTTCAACCCGACACGATCGAGAACATTGTTTGTAATATTATCTATCAGATCGATGGAAAGGACGATCAATCTAGTAAAGCAAAGAAGATGTTGGCAGAGATGGTGCAAGTAAGCATGGAGCAGAGCTTAAGGCATTTACAACGAAGGGCTCTGGTATGCACGCCCACTGATATGCCTATGAATAATTCATGCACCTCTGAAGTTTCTTCAAAGTAACAAAATTTATTCTCATGCTTTGTCCATGGAGTTTGTCAGATATAAACTTGTTTAGTGGTTACTATTAGAGAACAGGAAATGAAAATAAGATATAGGAGAAAACAAGCCAGTCCAGGCAGGTCGTGTGAGTGTCGGGAGACTGGTAAAATGCGAATAAAACTGGGAATGGGATCTGTATGGGGTTGAAATCATAGTGTTCTGTTTTCCTTTCTGCGTGTTTGTAAAGGCACTGTTGTATCACAGTATAGAAATAGTGTTTCAAAGTGTTCATTTCCCCCTCTTAATCATTCTAATAATAAGCTCACACTAGTAGATATTGTCCATTTTGAGCTTTTCTTCTTGGACTCTCTCAAAGTTTTAAAATGCTAATACTAGAGAGGTTTCTCCAATTTTATAAGCAATGTTTCATTCCCCTCTCCAAACAGTAGGTTATCGAAGCTAGATGTTGGGCGGCGTGCCAACGAGGACGTTGGCTCCTATGAAGGTGGATTGTGAGATCCTACATGGATTGGAGAGGGGAACTAAACATTCTTTATAACTACTAGTAGATGCTTTTTAAAAACTTTGAGGGGAAGCCTAGAACCCAAAGAGAACAATATTTACTAGCGGTGGACTTGAGTTGTAACAATGATATACTCGAGTTAGTAGGATAGTAGCTCCACGTGCATGCACATAGAAGCATAAAGCCAAAGTAGTAGATGATCACGAAGCAAAAGAAAGGATAAGGAGATGGGAATAAGTTCTTTGCTTGGGTTACAAGTGAATTAGGTGCAAGAGTCTTGCCTAGGATCCCTTTTCTGTCCATATCTAAGAGAAAATGAATCATGATCCTAACTTGTCATAACTATATATTTACACACACACGTGTCCCGAAGTTAAAAGCTACATCACATTTTTTAACCCTATTAACATAAAGCCAAAATGATGGATCAAAGAGGATAGTCATTGATTTCCATGTATACCAATTACAAAAAAGATAGTGTCTTCATATTTATTTTCATTTTACGGTGGATATGAGAATTATTGAGCTAAGTTGAATCGAACCCACAGAGTTATATGCTCTGTGTTGTGTTTCCTTATTTGCTTGTAGTCATATAATGTTGCTTTCTTCAATTCATTCAAATTGTTGTCAAATATACTTTCTCCTCAAGTTTTCTAAAACATTTCTTATAAATGTGACTCGAGGCTTGAACGTAAGTCGATGTTGTTCGCGACGTTCGAATTTCTCATAGCTAGTTTGTTTGCTAGGTTAGAACAAGTGTCGCACAATAGATATTTCACTGTTGCAAGAGTACGATTGTGACAAGTGATATCCAATAGATTTGAATTTCAATCTCCTTTATCGCTAAGAAGAATCAATTCCAAGTTTTTTCGTAGTACTCTATCTTTGGGAGAAGTTATCATATTTAGTATATCATGATGATTTATCCCGTAGAAATACAATTACTTCATATCTTTATCAAAAGTAATTACATAGTATTATTAGTATAAATAGAGAAAAAACGACTACTAAATTGAAAAATAGTCCGATAATGATGAATACTATTATTTTAACTTTAATACATAATAAAACAAACATGAAAAGGAAAAAAAACCATGAAATTTAACTCGTAGCCGTCTCATTAGCATTGGTCCGCTATCATGAATAAAAAAAAATACAAAGTAACCATGACCTACATCGGGTCCACTGTCACGATCGTGATTTTCCTACTTCCAAAAGAAAAAGTTCTTTTTTTGACGGGTTGTGGACGAAGATGGATTCGGACCTCTAACATTATAATTTGTAGCCACGTGCTCTAATTTTACGAGCCACAAGCTCAACCGTATCTCTACTTCAAGAATACTTAAAAAAAAAAATCATATAAACCCTAAACAGGATATACATCCATCTGCCGATTGAAGCTGCGCTTTTATTTATTTATTATTATTTGTCATTTCATACCGAAAAATTAGAACCTGAATTTTCCTTGCATGAAAAACGGGTTTAATTTAAAGAAAAATAAATATTATATTAAATGTGGATTATTTCATTTATTATACATTCAATGGTATTTTGGGTAACAGAAAAAGTTTAATAAATGCCTAAAATCCTACCAATAATAATTAAGTAATTTACATAAATTATATTTAATCAAAATGTTTTAAATTTTAGTTTTTATTGAGCTCGATATAACTTGCATCATAAATACATGCTATGATTTTAAATTATGAAAGCCTCATGCATCTTGCATCGAAATACTTTCTCTATGTGATTAGTATGAACGCGTACACTACAATGTTATGTTACAGTGTACACCATAATACTGTGCACGCTCTAAGACATTATTAGCCTAAATCGTGATCGTAGTCCAAAAAAAATAATTAAAATTAAAATTGGAAGGGCATGACCCATGAGACTTTCCATGTGATTATATTTATGTTTTTAAACAAATAATTTATTTATAAAACAATGGGATACAGCTAAGTTTGTACCAAAGTCGTCCATATTTAAATAAACGCCAAAATAATAAAATAATAATAATAATAGAGAAAATTATTAAATTATTAAACAAAATATCTGTAAAGAATGTGAGAGAACTGAGTGTTGTAGTAATGAAATTCGACAAAGAATTCAATCATTATTTATTACTTTTACACGTTTTTTTTTAAAAAAAAATATATTTTTAAATTTTTATATATATTCCATAAATAAATAAGTAAATAATTAATAATCATCTCACCAATTTTTTACAAATTTTCAACCATTGTATTATAATATTTATATCATCTAAGAATAAAATCAACGAGTTTTATCTGCATATACATACTTAAAAAAATTAGTATAAGTGTTTATTTAATATAGTTTCCAAATATCGGGATTTGTTTTGACTTTGTCACATCTCTTGTACTAAAATGTGTTTCATACGTGTCAAATCACATGTCAGACATAGAAACACTAGCTAAACTAAGTTGTTCACGGTGATTCTATGTATCTAACTCTTAAATGTCGATATCAATCTAGTATCTTAATGCATTACTATCGATATCGCTATCGCTATCATATTTGTTGATCAATTAAGGTTCGTAAACAGAATCCCACGTGGTGTGGGTTTGAGTGTGAAAGGAGACAGGAAAGTGGGGGGTTTGAGATGGATGAGTTTCGTTTGGCTCTCAAACGATACATCCGCCGACCGTTTAGCTGCTGCTGGTGTATGGTGCTGCAACATTTTGGTTCAACCCATTAAATTATGCCTCTCAACTCATAGCTTCCACAAACCCTTTTAATTAAATAACAGATTAAAGCCATCCTTCTCTATTTCCCATGCTATAAAAATGTTATATAAAATAACCAAATTTGAATATCTATGTTGTATTAAAAAGTGATGTTGAATATGGTACATGAATACGCTCTATGCTCAAGTTGTTATTTACTCTTAGCTTCTACGAGTTAAAACTATCTCCACAAACCAACACAAATTCCTTTAGCATGTTTTATCCTTATTTGCTGTGAGATCTCACGTCGAGTGGGGAGGAAAACGAAACATTTTTGTTTAAGGGTGTGAAAATCTCTCTCTACTAAATGTGTTTTAAAAACTTTGAGAGAAAACCCAACAGAAAAATCGGACAATATTTGCTATTGGTGAACTTGGATTGTTACACTCAGCATGATTACTAGGAAAATTTGAGCCATCAAAAGTGGAAAGGGAAAGTCCAAAAACGACAATATCTACTAATAGTGAGTATGGACGGTTATAGTCCATGCTTTCTAGGAAATTTCTTAAGAAATCGCTCAATATAGAATTGTTTCAAGAAAAATATGCTTAACTTTGTAGTTCGAGCCACCCACCGAAAAATAAGGTGCATTTTAGATTGCTCTCATTCAAATGTGGACTTGATTTATTCATGTATACCTCGTTTACTCAGGTGTGTTAGTACCCGAGTTTATTAGTTACACCCCCTACAAATGGGGTCTCCCAGGAGGGTTGTGTATATGCGCACTCTTTCATTCTGTGTCTGTGTCAATGGCACTCGCAAATTCAGCTGAACAAGAGCAGCAAATATCTGACTCTCTCATCAACTTCAAGTGTGGGATTGGCAATAAGGAGCCATTGCTGAGCTTTGAGCCACAAGGGGTTTGTCAATTAGACACTCACAATTGGGATCAGCAGCGTGCGATGGAGGATCCCAGCCCTCCAAAACATCATGGAGATCATGACCCTCTTTATGGCTGGCTTTCTGATGACATAACTGGAAATCACAAGCGATCCCATACGACGGTATTAAATCGTTCGACTTCGTTGCTAAATTATAAGTTTCGTCCCTAAACTCGTATTAGATTGATTGATTGACAGGGAAATAGCAGTGGGGGTGTGTGTAAGAAGCAATGTACTTTTGCAGCTGAGAAACAGGGACCCAGATCATCAACAGCCAAGGATCCACAGAGCATTGCAGCCAAGGTTTGGTCTTGTTTTGTTTGATCAACGGTGGCTAAGAATGTCTGTTTTATTGTTTGTTTTGTTACTTAGAATCGACGAGAGAGGATTAGTGAGAGGCTGAAGATACTCCAAGAATTGGTTCTTAATGGCTCCAAGGTGCTTATTGCTATCTAAATTAAGAAAAGCTTTAAACTTTTATGGAATTTTGGGCCATTTTTTACTTCATTTTGCAGGTTGATTTGGTAACCATGTTGGAGAAAGCCATTAGTTATGTCAAGTTTCTTCAACTACAAGTCAAGCTACATATTTTTATCCTTTGAGATTGGCTTTTCAACCATCAAAATATAAACTTTCATTTCACGGAAGATTTCACGGAAGATAAGTTACGTGAGACTTGTAGGGACCTATTGAAGTAGAGAGAGATTTCTCCCCATTAGTTAAACGAGGCTGAAGACGGAGATTATATTCTTCGCCTCCAACCCGCTCAAATCTATTAGAAACTACAGACCTCCATAATGATAGGATAATGTCCACTTTGAGTATAAGCTCTCATGGTTTCGCTTTGATCTTCCCAAAAGACCTCGTACTAATGAAGATGTATTCTCTACTTGCAAACCTGTTAGACGAACACGACCCTCCACAATGGTATGATATTGTCCACTTTGAGCATAAGCTCTCATGGTTTTGGTTTGGACTTCCCGAAAAGGTCTCACACAAATGGAGAGAGTATTTTTTGTTTATAAACCCACGATCATTTCCTAAATTAGGGGATGTGAGACTTTCATCATCCAACAAAACCCATGATCGTTCATAAATTAGTCAATGTGAGACTCTCTCTCAACGATCCTCCCTCCAACAAAATACAATATAGAACCTCCCCTGAAACCTATGGAGCCCTTGAACAACCTTCCTTTAATTGAACAAAGTACAACAACACCTTCGAGCCTAGTAATTTCTTTGTTCGACATTTGAGGATTCAATTAGCATATCTACGTCAACAACATGACTCTGATACCATGTTAGAAATCATGACTCTCCACACTGATATGGTATTGTCCACCAACTTTGAGTATGAGTTCTTTGTAGCTTTACTTTTGGTTTCCCTAAAATGGCTCGAGATGTATTTCTTACTTATAAACTCATGGTCATTCCCTTAATTAGTCGGAACTCTCTCCCAACAATTTTCAACACTTCCCTCTTTCTTATCGTTTTGGTTAAAATTTTGAATTTCAGATCCTAGCGACCGACAAATTTTGGTCCATTCAAGGAGGGAAAGCTCCAGATATTTCACAAGTTAGGGAAGCCATTGATGCCATTCTTTCATCACAAAGAGAAAGAAGCTCAAGCTGAAACAGTCAAAAGTGATGGTACTTTTGGCCTCCGCGTAGATCGACATTATTCAAATGAGCTAGCAACTGAAATGTATGCATATCAGTATGCACGTCAATGCCTTGTCAATGTGCTTTAATCTTTTGAAGAACATCAACGCCTCATGCAAGCTGCACCCCATCTGGGTCCTTCACCAATACACACACAAAGAAATCAGCCCATTTTCAATCTACAAACTTGGTCCAATGGAATCATCCTTCCTTAAATTCAATCTTTTTTTGTAACAATATCAAGGTTGGTCAGATATTGTCTCCTTTAAGATTTTAAAACGTGTCTATTAGAGAGAGATTTCCACACCTTTATTAGAAATGCTTCGTCCCCTTTTCAACCAACGTGGGATCTTACAATCTACTTCCTTAAGTATCCAACATCCTAGTTGGCACACCACCCGATGTCTCCACTGATTCTATTGTAACAACTCACCTTATAGCTAATAGATATTGTCCTTTTTGAGTTCCAATTGATGGGAACCTCACAAGACTCACATTTTTCGTAATTCATGGATTTTGTTGCAAGATTAGAAACAAATACGTTTTGGATTGTTTTAAATCCGTGGGTAAGAAACTGATTCTCCAAAATCATATCAATGAACACCGATAAAATGAAAAGAGACAGCACACGGAACGGAATCAAAGAGATACTTAAATTTAACTTAATAATTTTGAACTAACACGAAAAAAAAACTTAATTTTAATACGAAAAAAGAGGTAAAGTTGATGGTAGATTATATTAGATTGAATACAAATGGACCTTCTTTAACGAAAAAGGAAAAAAAAAAAAAAAAAAAAGATTAGTATAAAGCTTTAATACATTTACTAGCTCACCACCCAATGACTGACTCTAGTACTATTTGTAACAGCTCAAGTCCAACACTAGGAGATATTGTCTGCTTTAATCCATTATGTATCGTCGTCTGTCTCACGGTTTTAAAATACATTTACTAGAGAGAGGTTTCCACATTTATAAGATTTTTTTGTTTATTCCCTCCAATCGATGTGAGATCTCACAACCCACTCCCTTGAGGGCCAGCGTCTTCGCTAGCACACCGTCCAATGACTACCTCTAATACTCTTTGTAACAGCTCAAACTCACCGTAGCAGACATTGTTCGCTTTAGCTCGTTACGTATCGCTATCATTCTCACTGTTTTAATACACATCTACCATAGAGATACTTTCACAATCTTGATGAATGTTTCGTTCTCATCTCCAACCAAGGTAAAATCTCACAAATTCAAATAAAATTGGATCTAAATATTGGATAGATAAACGTCGAAGTTGTCAAGAACTTCAGGACGACGAGATTGTTCGGGGGTCGTTGCGATATTTGTGTCCCACCGACAAAAACCCAAAGGGGAGAAATGGGAATGAGATTCCCGTGAATACGAGTTCGCGTTTTGGACCATATGCTCCACACGATATGCTTTAAAAATGTTTAATTAATATCAAAATCAAACTTAGGGATATCAATTTTAAACATTTAATATGCATCATTATCACATTAGGTGACCATTATTTGCCGCCATCTGCCCCCACCATATACACACATTTCCCTCCATTTTCCTCCTAACAAATTTTCCCCAACATTTCTTTTTTCATTTTTTTAAATACTAATTTTAAAATCCGTCCCATTAACATCTATCACTCTCGCATCTTAATAATTAATTTTTTTAGTTCAACCATATCTAGAATCACAATCTTTTTTTTTAGCCTCGTTTGTAATATAATATAAAATAGGTTTCTAACCCGAGCGTCCGTTCATGTGGAGGGAAATATATTTTTATTATTTTATTCGTAAAAAAATTTGTTCGAATAGTGTTACATCTAATTTAATTAAAAAATATTAATTAAGAAATTTTGTCTCAATTGATATATTAATATTACTTTCGAGTAATAACGATGCCTAAATTAATAGGGTAGGGAGTATTATTAGACTTTTGTTGTTATTATTAAATGTAGCGGAAGTCTAAAGCATGAAGGAGGCAAGAAGGAGACCATGATGTTACCCGCCACAAAATATTAATATGAGAATCTTGTATTATTCATTAATTTAAACTTTATATTCGACGCTAAATTTTCATGTCTTATATTCGCCTCTACATTTTGTCTTTTGTCATTGATCGTAACGTTTTATTCAAAATCCTCTTAAAAATTTTCAAACTTAGAAGACATAAATAGATATTTAAACTATACATAAATTGGGTTGGGGAAATCTTTTCAGCCAACTCGAAATATCATGTTGATTGGATTTGTGACACAAGCAACCCAAATAGAGTTTACAATCCAACCAAACCCAACACTCTATTTCGGATTGAATTATGTTTTTTTAAAAAAAACTATACTTACCTGTAATATACATCACATTAATAACTAAAATCTCACAAAACTCAAATATCAAATATTTACAAGTCACAATGTATCAGTAACATCGATTACAAACATTAAATATTCTTAATTTTCGTAATAATCTTAAAAGTAAGACAATATTGGGTTGGTCAGGTTTACCGAACCAAAAAAATGTCAACTCGCAAAATCTAATCCAACCTAATTTTTATAATTTCGATTAAATAGTATGAATTTTTTGGACTCTCAGATCATACGAACACCGGACAAAAAAAAAGATTTAAAATTTATTAGAAGGTTAAAAACAATAATTAATAAAAAAAAGTTAATTATATTAATAAGCTAGACAGCATGCGGGGGTGCCACCAAAAAAGACAAGGTTGTTGGCCGTTGGAAAAATATGGGGTGGTCACCAACTACATATATAGTTTTAGTTTTTCTGTTATATAATAATATTAATATTAATATTTATTTTAAAAAAAGAATATAATTAAAATTTATTTCTTATTCGAATATTCACTATTATTTTGTTCATAAAAATCAAAAGTGTTCTGCAAAAGGCAAAAACTCCTCCTTTTGCAGTAATTTTGGAATCTCTCTCGCTCTCTCTCTGGTTCATAATGGGTAAAAAAGTAAAAAAGTAAAAAGTAAAAAGTAAATCATATTTACTCAACCTTGTACATACATATATTTATTATTATTTTAAAATAAACTAAAATCTAAAATACCCAACCTTGTACATTTATTCACGGGGTATTGAAACGTGATTAACTTAGTAAAATGACGAAATTAAGCTGTATTTATTTGGGGTTCCAACAAGCTTTGTGTTTTAATTGGTCATTTTAATCGTGTTAAATTAATTAAACTTTGATTACTGAAATCATGTCCGTTTCAATCACTCTCTCCCCCACACGCACGCACACGCAGAGGTCCATGGGGGCAAACACTCGAAGCTCTCTCTTTTTGTTTATTTATTTAAAGATAAAATTCCATTTTGAAAGGTAGAGCAAGCGAGCTACCCATTCCACCCATGTCTGCCAAAGCAATTTCTATGGGGACCTTAGCCATGGCTTTTCATCCCCACCCCCCACCTCCCACCATGCCCTTCTTCCATTTCTGTACTTAAATTCCATTATTCTTCTTCCTGCATATTCTCCCCCCACCATTGAAGCAAACCCAATTCTTCCCTCTTTTTCCCCTTTTCTTTGTGGGTATCTCTGCTTTTCTCTTTTGTTTCTTTGAGGGTTTCTAGATCTCTGTTCTTTCCCTCGAGATTTGCTTCCAAATGGGTTTCTCCATTGGTACTTGTTCTAACCCAAGGGTGCCCCACCTTGAGTTAGAGCATCAACATTCCCACTATAACGAGCTCAAGATTAAGACCCTTTTGAGAAAAATGATTTGGGAACTTGGGTTAGCGTGTGTTACTCCTCCTGCTCGTCTTCGCCGCAAGAATCAGGGCATTCAAGATGATGATCACCACACCAATGTCGATGGGAAAATCAAGAATCTCGAGCACAATAAGGCTTGGTTGCTTGCGGAGTCTGGTCCTTGTGGTGGGGAGTCCTCAAATACTGATCCACAATCGGTTCACTCGTCTTTTCGGTTTAGTTTTTGCTCTCAAGTTGAGCTTGAAACCATGAACATCGGCTCTTCAACCACTGCGGCGACTGTTTTGATGGTGAATTTGGAAAATGGAATGATGGCTGATGCTCTCACCAAAGAATTGAAATGGCGGAGGATTGAATCATTGGAAAAAAGCATTTCCCCTGTGGCTCATACTTTGATCCGATTCAGATATCGCGAAATTCTTTCTGCTACTCGTAATTTCTCAAAAGGTACTCTCAAAGTCAAACACCCTTTTTCTTGTTTTTTAAACCAATTTTTGATATGTAATCTTGAACCCTTTTTCAATTTTTTCCCAAATTTGGTAGGCAGAGTTCTGGGAAGAGGGGCTTTAAGTTATGTATTCAGGGGGAGAGTTGGGTTTTTAAGAACAGCTGTGGCTATCAAACGTTTGGACAAGGAAGATAAAGAGTCTGCTAAGGCGTTCTGCAGAGAATTGATGATTGCTAGCTCTCTTCATAACCCAAATATTGTTCCTCTTGTGGGGTTTTGCATTGATCCAGAAGAGGGCTTGTTTTTGGTTTATAAGTATGTTTCTGGTGGAAGTTTAGAAAGACATTTGCATGGTATGATTCCTTGTTCTTCGGTTCTTGATTTACTTGAACTTTGGTTGGCTTTTTGAGTTTCTAACGTTGTAACAATTGCAGAGAAGAAGAAGGGAATAAAGGGTTGCTTGTCTCTTTCCTGGTCAGTGAGGTTTAAGATTGCTCTTGGAATTGCTGAGGCTGTGGCGTATCTTCACAATGGGACTGAAAGATGTGTTGTTCATAGAGATATTAAGCCTTCAAATATCCTTCTTTCGTCCAAGAAAGTGCCAAAGGTAAAAGAATATGTTCGTTTTTGTGGATATTCCTTTGGTTGTTTGATGTGTACAAAAGAGAAGGATAGTGTGTGATCTTACCTTGTTTGTTGGAGAGGAGAACAAAACATTCTTTATAAGGGTGTCCTAGTATACACGTTTACCTTGAGAGGAAGCCTAAAAGGGAAGTCCAAATAGGACATATCTGCTAGTGGTGAGCTTGGGTTCTTACAAATGGTATACACCCCGAGCGATGTGCCACCAAAGGGGGGGTGGGTTGTGAGATCCTCCCAAAGGAGTGGATTCTGAGATCTCGGTTGGAGAAAGAGAACGAAGCATCCCTTATAAGGGTGTGCAAACTTATTCCTAGTAATGACAGACACTGGATGATGTGCCAACTGTCAACGATGACGCTAGGTCCCCAATGAGGTGGATTGTGAGATCCACGTTGGAGAGGAGAACGAAGCATTTTTATGAGGGTGTGAAAACCTATTCCCTAGCATACGCGTTTTAAAACTTTGAGTGGAAGCCTGAGGGAAACCAACAAGTCATTGGTCTAAGATAATTTGAGTAATCTCTTAAAAAAAAGCTCCATTTGACAAATGCTAACCTTTCATTGTTCTTATTCATCAACTGTTTCCTGGTAATGGTTGCTTGCAGTTATGTGATTTTGGGTTAGCGACATGGACTGCTGCTCCATCTGTGCCTTTCCTTTGCAAAACTGTCAAAGGAACATTTGGGTATGAAACTCTTTCTTAAGCCATTTTAATGTAGGGGAAGGATGATGAGATTCAATCTCGCCCTTCCCGTGTTCTGTTCCATTCCGATTTACGATTTATGAACTTATTTGTAGTTACCTAGCTCCGGAATATTTCCAGCACGGGAAGGTATCAGATAAAACAGACGTCTACGCTCTAGGAGTCGTTTTATTGGAACTCATAACGGGCAGGAAGCCGATCGAAGAAAGAACTCATGGAGAGGAGAACTTGGTTTTATGGGTAGGTCATTATATCACTTTTGTTGGATTAATGATTCTGCAAAGTGTTGATATTGTTCACTTTGGCCTGTTACTTATCGCTGTCAGCCTCACGGTCTTAGGTTTCCACATCCTTATAAGTAATGTTTCCTTATTCTACACCGGAACAGTATTTCTTAACCTGTGTTGCATTCGTTAGTGCAGTCTCGAGTATATGACAGAAGAAAGTAGTCTGTCAAGTATAACAAGTTTGATATGTTCCTACAGGCAAAGCCACTCTTGCAGAAAGGGAAAGGGGCAATTACCGAGCTGCTTGATCCACATGTGGCGTGTACAACGAAGAATTCGAATCAAATAGTCCAAATGATCGAAGCTGCCGCTGCTTGTATTACCGGTGAAGAATCGCGCAGGCCCGGGATCTTAGAGATCATTGCAATATTGAAAGGTGAAGAACAGCCTCTGCCCAACAGATCAAAGAGGTCTGGTTTCTTGAGCCATGGATGTGTCACTGATTGTTATTCACAGTTTCAAAACACGAACAGCGAAATGACGAGTCATTTAGCATTGGCCATGTCGGGACTCCCCGAATTCGAAGAAGACGATTACCTTTTCTGCCGTTGAAAAGTCAGATTATTTTTCCTCATTTTAGTTGAATCATTGATCATTTTGTAAATATGATCATTTTTGTACAGATCTTCTGTTTGGAAGTGGTTGGTTGAGACACAATCATGGAAGTTGCAGCTTAACAACCAAATCAACGTTTTCCATAATGAAAAATGTTAAAGAAAATGGAGCCCATTTGATTTGTTTTTTCATGCAGACATCAAATCAAACACGACAAGCTACATTCAAAATGTAAAACAAAAAACAGAACAAGAAAACAACAACAAGAACAATAAACGGTATACAAACACTTAGAATATCTTTGCAACATCTCTGATTAAACCACGGTTGGCACGGGCAAAATCCGTGAACTCTTCGTATGAAATGTACCCATCGCCGTCGGTGTCGATCTCGGCCATCATCCGCTGCACTTCGTCAGGGGTAACGGAGCCAAGCGTCTTCAAGGATTCACCGAGCTCCGATGCAGAGATCCTACCGTCACCATTGGCATCGAAGCGCTTGAAAATTCGGTCTCGGTCAACTTTGTCTTTAGCATCATCAGCCATTGTAATAATAATATGAAAAGGGTTAGTGTACCAGGATTTTGGTGACTGAGAGATTGAGAGATAGAGAAGGGAATCATGAGTTATAAAGAGCGAAGTTTGTGGAGATTAAGGTTATCCTCAAATGTCGGCTTAGAAACTGATTTTACCAAAATTATGGTTTCTCATGTAAGAAACATTCTTTGCTATTGCAATTTTACTTCTCTTATTACATATATATATATTAGCTTGGGCTTGGGCTAATAAATACGGAATGTTTGGGCTTCAAGTTTGGGCCACCTTACTTCTACTTTTCGTTGGGCCTGAGTTTCCATATGAGCTTGGGCTTCAGTTTTGGGCCACCTGACTTCTACTTTAAGTTGGACCTGAGTTTCAATATTATCTTGGGCTTCATTTTTGGGCCACTGTCTTCAACTTCGGTTTGGGCCTGAGTTTCCATATTAGCTTGGGCTTGAGATTTGGGCCACTTGACTTCAGCTTTTGGTTGGGCCTGAGTTTGAAACTCATAGTTCAGTTGGGTAGAACGTGGGTCTCCAAAACCTGATGTCACCTTGGGCCTTTGGGCCCAAAGGCCCAAATAGCCCTAACCAACAAAGATTGAATCAATGAAATTAATATACAATTTCTTTTTTTTAAAAAAAATTAATTAATAAAGTATTTCAAGTGAAACTTTAGGAAGAGTTCACTTGTGTGAATATTCAAAAGTGCTAAATAAAATACGTATACATTATATAGTAACCCTTTCTTTATGGGGATGAACATTGAATTCGAAAACTCGAAAAATCGAATCAATCCAACCTAAATCATAAGGGTTAGGTTGAGTTAATTTTTTAGAACCAAACTAGTTCGATTCAAGTTTTAGGTTCGCTTGGCAAAAGTCCTAGTCAACCCAAACCATCAAACGCTTCTCACATCAGTTAACATATGCCCCTTGCAACATTCAATATCAGCAAATGCTCCTGGCATATGCCCTCACCCTCACCCACATTGCCATACACTCCTCGCCTTTGCTATCGCCGCCCCCACGCCCATGCTCAACCCAATCTTATACATTCCGTACTAATCTCTGGCTTTCCGAACATGGAGTCTCCCTCCAATAACATGGTTTATTACAAAAAGGAGGGGAAATTCATTACTTCAAACAAAAGAAATGTGTATAGTTGATTGCAAAGATGCAAATGCAAGGCTGTTTAAGGCCTTCTCAATATGGCATCACATAGCTTGCAAGTTCCAATTTTGGCATATATATTCTTAGCCTACTATGATTCCACCTTCAACTTTACAATATGTGCTTTTAAAAGTGGAAAGTGGGAAGTAAGATGCAAATAAATGGGTTGCTGGTGGGCTCTCTTTCAAGTGGAGCCTTGTCAAAATCAATGGAATCCTTCTCAAGAAACCCATTAAGTACTTAAAGTGAGAAAGAGAGACTTAAATGCATCATCACTAACACTACTCGGTCGTTCTTTAATATTGTCCACTTTGACTTATTATGTATCGCTGTTAGTTTCACGGTTTTTAAAATACGTCTACTAAGAAGAGGCTTCCACACTCTTATAATAAATGCTTGGAGACCCAACGTTCTTATTAGCACACCCTATATCTAGCTTTGATACCATTAATGACAACCAAAACCTACCGCTATAGATATTGTCCATTTTGGTCCATTACGTATCACCCTCAGCCTTATAATTTTAAAGCTGTGTCTGTTATAAGAAATGCTTAGGGACCCAACATTCTTACTAGCACATCATCTTGTGTCTAGCTTTAATACCATTAATGACAGTCAATACCCACCGCTATAAATATTGTCCATTTTTGTCTGTTACGTATCACCCTGAGCCTTACAATTTTAAAACATGTCTGTTAATGAGAGGTTTCCACACCCTTATAAAGAATGTTTTGTTCTACTCAATCATTCTCATAATCTTAGGTGTTATAATCTTAGCTCCTTACCTTCTATGATATTGTCCGTTTTGACTTATTATGTATCGCCGTTAGCCTCACGATTTTTAAAATGCTTCTATTAGGAAGAGGCTTTCACACTCTTATAAGAAATGATACTTGGGGACCCAACGTTCTTGCTGACACACCGTCCGGTGTCTAGCTTTGATACCATTAATGACAGCCAAAACCCACCGCTATAAATATTGTTCATTTTGGTCCGTTACATATTACCCTCAACCTTACAGTTTTAAAGCGTGTCTGTTAATGAGAGATTTCCACACCCTTATAAGAAATGTTTCGTTCCCTTTTTCAACTAACATAGGATCATATTTTTTTTTTTTTTTTTTGCATTCATAGAAAAAATAAAATTAAATGTCACATTCACCTTTCAAAATCTCAACAAACACCTTAGGTAGGAAGAAAAAGCTAAACACCTTTCACAATTAGTGTAACAATGGAAAAAGATCGAGGAAGTGTTCTATCTATCATGTCAAACAATACTTAATGGTGAAGGAGAGGAAAAAATGAGTGAATAATTTAGCTATCATATATGATGTCGAGTTATATCGATTTAATATCAATACAAGTATAAACGAGTACAATTTTTCAATCATAGCTCCAAAAATGAGTAAGCATCCGAATTATCTTGACTAATAGTGTGTACGAAAAAAACTTGTTCATTAATTAATTCATTTCTACCATCTCAGCTTCGAGAAGCCATTAATTAATTTGTACCCAAAACTCTAATATTCTCTCACCTTTTTCTTTTATGATACTTTCATTTTCAATCATACGAAACCTCGTCTTTAACATCTTTTATAGTACGATGCATGCATCTAAATACTTTTTGTAACAAATAAAGTAGTTCGTATTGCATATTTGATATTGATGGCCACCTAGCAGACACTTATTGTTCTTTGAAGAGTTATTATGTTTTGTAGTTCTTTATTCTAAATTCGATCAAATGTTTCGGAATAGAAAACCCAAGTCCCCTACCCTACTTGGTTTCATTGATCGTTTATATAATGGTTGAACTAGAAAAAAAAATTTGAAGAAAACGTTGTTAAACTTAGTATTTTAGAATATTTATGTGAGATCCCACATCGGTTGGAGAAAGAAACAAAACATTTCTTACAAGAGTGTGGAAACCTTTCCCTAGCATATGTGTTTTAATACTGTGAGGCTGACCACCACGATACGTAACGGGCTAAAACAGACAATATCTGTTAGTTGTGGGCTTGGGCTGTTACAAATGGTATCAGAGCTAGACCTCGGGTAGTGCGCCAACGAGAGCGTTGGGTAACGAAAGGGGTAGATTGTGAGATCGTGAGATCGTACATTAGTAGGAAAGGGGAACAAAGCATTCCTTATTAAGAATGTGGAAACCTCTCCCTATCATACACATTTTAAAACTATGAAGCTGATGACGATACGTAACGGATCAAAGTGTACAATAACGGTGGGCTTGGGTTGTTTCAATGTACGGGTATACATATTATATCTTCTTATGAAAGTGTGTATGAATGGTTTGATGACGAACTCGACTCGTTCTTATGAGACAGGTATGCAATGCAACGTTTTCTCAAATATTATATGTTTCAATTAGTAACATTTGATTTTGTCGCTCTTAATTCGTGAAATAATGAGTTGGAGAATTATGTAGACGTAGGTCAGGTGATTAACTCGATCGAATAATTTCATTACCAACCTTCATAATTACATAAGAGATAAACTTGAAATGCTTTATTAAAAGAGATTAAGTTAGAGATAGCAAAATGTTTGGATAGGTAACAATATGATTTGAAAGGATGCCTAATTTTTGACACATCTACTTATTACTTTAGCTTTAAGATTGTTATGATTTTTATTTTTTCTTTTTTCTTTTAAATTTTAAATGCTTAAAAATTTTAAAATTCAATTTTTTTTTTTTTTTTTGCAACTGTCCAACCACACCAATAGTATATTGTTCTCTTTGAGCTTGAACTATTACAAATGATACAAGAGCCAAATATCGAATGGTGTGCCAGCAAGAACGTTGAGTCCCGACGGGGGTGAACACCAAATGGTGTGCCTGCGAGAACGCAGGACTTCGAAAGGAGTGGAATGTGAGACTTCACGTTAGTTGGAAAGAGAAATAAAACATTTTTTTTATAAGAGTAAAAACTTTACAGACATACACATTTTAAAAATCTTGAAGGAAAGCTCGAACTCAACGATAGCTCGAACTCAACGATGACAATATCTGCTATAGACATAAAATTATTTATTTGATAAAATATTGATATATTTCTGTATGGATTAATTTTTGACAAATTAATAAAGAAATAAATAGTAACTAAAAAAACTAAGGTCATGCACATGGCTTAGGACAGACAGGTCATTTATTATTTATTTTCTCCTACCTATTTGTCACATCATAATATCCAACTCAGCAGAAAATCTCCAAATATTATTGTGAATAAAAACTATATAAATTAAATTAAGGGCTCACCATATTTATTGTAAAGCTTCATAACCCAAAAATTATATTATTTATTATATATCATCATTAATCCACCCTCCAAATAAAAAGGCAGAAAAAAAAAGAAAAAAAGAAAAAACAGGTCCACAAACTCATTCATCACCCAGTGAGTCGACTCACTTCGACCCATCGGGAGCGAGTTGCCATGCTGATGTGGCAATCAACGGTCGAGTGTGCCAGCCAAGCATTAAACACCCATTATTCTCCTCCACCCTGTACCCTTCTCCGCCAGCAAAGAGGGCCAAAAGCATACTAGCCTGCTTGAACGCGTTCGAACCGAGATGGACCGGGTCAAACCCGGACGATTCAATCCGAGTTCTCCACTGAGTCAATGACTCGTGTCGCTCAACTCGGTCCGTTCCTTCACATGCCACCACGTTGCAAATCTGTCTCCCCAAATAAACCTCGGACAATAACACGTCCTCATTCGCGGGTTCGAACCCGATTGATGACCCCTCGAGCGAGTCAAACAGGTTCGAGTAATAATGCAACGCCTCAGTAAACCGGTCCAGGAAAATCGGCCCGTTGTGGTTCGCTTCCTGTTCCACAATCGTCACGATCTTCGGCTGCGTCGTATTTATCAACCCCAAAACCTTCTCTATCGCTCCAGGTCGAGCCAACAACCGGTGTAGATCGAACACCGAGTTTACCGCCACCGCCTCCACCGCCGTCGGCCGAATCTTCAGAGCCGCCGGATCGAGATCCTCCAGATTACTACATACGATA